AACCACTATATATATCTAATTATCTTATTTCAAGGGTAAAAACCACTGTATATATATATATATATATATAAAAAACTGTTTTCTCACCCCTCGTGGGGTGGTATGTGTCATCCTCAAGCTTGGGTCCTCTACCAGAGGCCTGGGAGTTTGAGGGTTCTGCGCAGTATCTTAGCTGTTGGTACTGATGAAATGCTTATATATATATATATATATATATATATATATATATATATATATATATATATATATATATATATATATATATATATATATGAACATATGACTTTACAATCAACCAGGAACAGTTCCACGCAAACACGTGGAACGGGTTAAATCTGATATATTATGACAGCATTTTTTTTTTTTTTTTATAAAACATTTTAAATGCCATGATAATCACATTTAATTAATTTTAATGCTAATTAAAGCCTTAATTAAAAAAAAATTAATAATAATCGACTTTTAATGACCTGCAGAAACGCTGGTAAAGCTTTCCATAATTAAGCAAAATAAATTTACAAATGCTAAAAGTATATACAAGTCATATTTTTATGTTATTGTTGTCATGTTTTTTTTTAACAATTATAAAAAATGTCAAATTTTAGAGTCACTATGCAAGAGGCATTTCTTTCTGACTTATCAGGTTAAAATAAATAAAAACCCAATTTTAATTCAACCAACAAAATAAAAAAAATAAAATAAAAAAAAACATAAAGAAGCAGTGAAATGATGTAGTGCATGTAGATATGCTGCTAAACTGAAACACCCTCATTTACAATCAACCTTTTTCACCGTTTAAATGAGTTATTCTTATAATTATGGACAGAAAGCCTGGAGGACATGACAGCAAAAACTCATCACCTCATAAACTGCGTCTATTTTAATGCTGTATCATTAAAACCAGTGGAGCATTAAAACAAAGCCCTAGTTTTTCTCTGCTGACAGTGAAGCCAACATGTCACCATATTGTCTCTACGAGGAGGTGTTTAACCGTCAGTTAAACGACGTAACGTTTTCCAGTCAGATATATTTTTCATCTTAAGCTTTCTGGTATTTCCGCGCTCTGTTTTTCTCTGTTTTAGGCGTTTTCAGTCAAAGTATAACATTACTTACCCCTGTATAGTTTGTCGTTGTCGCACTGGCCTTTCGCGGTGATTTTTTGAATCTGTGACGCATGACGCAGGGCGTACGTATGGGAGGGGCTACCTCTCAGTAATTTATAGATGTTGGCGCATTAGCGCCACCAGCTGGACTGGAGTGAAAGCAATATGTTGGGTTAAAAAACAATGTTAATCTGAATAGTATGTGTTTGTTTGAAATTACAAGACTCGAGCTCTTAGTTTTGATTGTCTATCTGTCCTGATAAATTATGATGTAGTACTTTTCATTGGTTCTATGTTACATTGTTGATTAAATGTGTCCTTATTCTGGCTTTTGGGTTGCTATAATATGAAATATAATATAACATAATATAATATCATAGAAGAACATATAATAGAATATCATAGAATATAATAAAATATGTCATTTCATAGAATATCATAGAATAGAACATCTTTATTGTCATTACACTATCACAAGTACAAAACAACGAAATTTACTTTGCATCTGTCCAGATGTGCTATACAGGATATAAATATTTTTACATGTGTATAGAAAACTATGTATGTATGGACCATAAATGCTCTATATAAACAGAGAGTAATTGTAAGAGGCTATAACATTAATACATTTTAAAACTATATACAGTTTATACAGGAATTGATAATAATTTAATTGAGTACACAGGCTTTACTACAAACAATTTGCTAAAAGATCAACCAACTCAGTGTGGAAACTAAGTCAAAACTACAAAAAAGATGTATATTCATTCTAAAGAAAATACTTTTTTGTAAATACATTCTTACCAGAATTCCTTAACAGATAGTTTTCGCTTTAACTGGTTCAAATTCTCAAAAAAAAAAAAGCAAATATTAATGAATCAAAAAGCAAATAATGACTAATATACAAGCAAAATAATCTTTAATCTCAGCATTAATCAGAAAATGTCCCAGAAAAATATTTTTGAACATTAAACTATTACTGCACATGCACTATCCTGTATCCATTCCCAAGAGGGAACAGCTATTAAAGTAGAGTGCAAGAGCCCATATCTCCTCGTGCACGCTCTGTTTAAAAGTTGCTGTTTGCATCGCTCATGCAAACTTACTTTCCAAAAGAAGATTTACAATTTTTCCACTATATCAGACTCTCCATCGGTAAGTGAAATGTGCACGAGCATGTAGGACAGCCTTATGTAAACATAGCAGAATGATTGACAGTTAGGAGGACCTGTTATTCTGCATTTTCAGTTGCTAAATGTAAATCCAACCAAAGTGGTGTTTGTCAGCCAGTATATCTAGCAACATTTTTTTTTTTTTTGGTCTTCATTGTGGAATTTTACCATTGTCCCAAATTAAATTCCCCAGGTCCAGCTTGCTCCCTGGGAACTGTAAGTACCTCTGCAAGTTAGATGGGTTAAATGTAAAGATGACGGGAATGTAAAAATAATAACAGTAATATTTATCAGAATATATCACTTTAAAAGAGTTTCTTTTCATTCAGATAATCTACAAGATAGATCTAGTTGCCCTTCTGTGGGTTTTACATTAAATGCTGTACTTGTATAGTTTTTATGATGACCCTGACATGATTAGAAGATTAGAAGTGGATTTAACCATGTTTTAGCAAATGATTGAAGCTGTTTTTTTTATCTAAATGCAAAAAAACAACCTTTAAGGATAAAAAAATTTAAACAAAAATAAAACAGTTTTAAAGTTTATTGAGGATATAATGATCAGTGGCTGGTTCTCTGTAAGCAGAATAGCTCCAAAAGGTTATGATGGTGATGTTACACTGCAAAAAATGGAAATCTAAATAAGTCATTTTTGCTCAAATTAAGTGCTTTTTTCTTGAATTGAGGAGGTAAGTGAAACACTTTGCCAATGGAACAAGACAATTTACATTTAAAATAAGAAAAAAACAATTGCTTTGTCTTATTTCAAGTGTATATTATCTAATTATCTTATTTTAGCAATAAAAATACTCATTCCATTGGCAGATCATCTTATTTACCTGGTCAAAGTAAGGGTAAATACACGTAATTTAAGACATTTTTTTTTACTTATTTCTAGGATTTTTTTGCAGTTTAAGAGA